CTCAGTTATCAACTGTCCGGGGTAGTACTTTCAAGGAAACGCTGATCAAGAATCATTCATGACGGAATGAAAACTCCTCGTAGCTTCCAGCGAAAAAAGGAGTGACAACAGTGGTAAGCGGTCGTTCTGTGAAATGTAACGCAATCTTTCCCGTTTACGATCTCTCGGCGCTTGGATTTGAAACGTTGTTGTTTGGTATGTTCTCCCGTGTGGATACTTGACATTTCGAATATATGGAAACACCATGCTAAGGTACGAAAAACAGACATTCACAACATTGTTTTGTACGCTAAAATCTGATTTCATGGACGTAAAACGTTTTGAATTTTAAGACTTTTTAATATTAGAGCTTTGCCTCCCTTTGACAACTTCACGTAACTGGTGCACTTGGAACGAGTTGACAGCTTAAATCTGCCTTTCTTGATAGCAAACGGCATTAATTTATATCAGATCGCTGTATAAACACGTCTTGGTTTCTGAAAGCTGATAACATGAAACCACTATTGCTCAAACTGATTTCTTACTGTATTTTTCCAAGTTTTTAGCGTCGGCCCGCCGCGTCTGGAAAGCTCAAATTTCAGAAAACTACTACTTGTATTTTTTGGCCTCAAACATTTTCTTTTAAGTTGCCCGTAGTTTTGAAAACAGATTTTGAAAGAAGAGATAACTCTTTAACGTGGTATAAGAATCGTTACTGAAATCGAGGTACCAGTCGACGATTTTGGGCTTTGAAATTTGCCATTTTTTCATTGAACGAAAACGTTAAAAATATTGAAAATAATGAAAAATCTCCAAAATATTACACTTTCGTTCAAAGTGAGTAAATCACCACTTAGAATGTGTGCAATTAATTACTCTTCCGAATAAGTTGTTTGTTGTCCACATTACCATGGATTTGAATTTTAAAACGATTTTTTTGTGACACATGGTCTCCGGCCTGGAAAACCCGGTCCGAGAGCCGCGAAACCAATAACCCCCCCGTACGTGGAAAATAATTATCGGATCGAAGTAAAAATTACACTTATGTTAATAGCTTACCTAGTGCTACTTTGTGAATTTTTTTGAGAATTTTCGATTTTTCACTTTTGTAGACCTCTGGTCGATATTTACTGACATCCGCTCTTTAAAAGTCAACGTTTGAACGTCGGCTGCTTCTCCGAACTTACCCAAACGTAAAGCTATAGCACATAACACAAACTATAGAAGGGCATCGTTAAGTTGACTGTGAATAGCATCGGCGCTCGCTACTAAAAAATACCTGATGGATGGAGTTTAAATGACCGCGTGACTTTTAAATTTAGCAAACTTGCCACACAATAAGTCCTTTAGCGACCACGCTTACTCGGTTAAGTAGTTAAGCACTGCCCTCTCTCGTTTTTATTTGTGTGCGTGTTTGTGTATTTTGACCCTTTAAGCCCCAATATCCACATACAAATTCTCCAAACTGATCTCTATATATTTCCTTAAAGAATTTGTTGAGAGAATTTGATAAAAGATCGAAGCATTTTCTCTTAGGTGATCGATTTATTAATTCTTATAACCTAATCTCTGGACAATCTATGGATATGGTTAGAAGAAAATTTATGTTGGTCACCATTGGGACTTAAAGGGTTAAGAGCCGTAGGAACTTGGCCAACATCTCGTCGTCCGGTTTACTTCACGGTTGGTCAATACCGCATGTTTTTTTTCCTGTTGATGGAATCTTTTCTGACTTAATTGCTGTTTACATTGCTTCATAAATGACATTAGAATACGAACTTCACTAAAACGACATCATGTCAAATCAAGATAAATTCACAAACTTAAAAACCTTCTTAAAGTTTGTAGGTTGTGAAATTGTCTGCTCTTTGTAAGCAAGACTCAAAGGAATAACAGCATTCAGGACTTAAAGCAAACGTTTTGTCTGACAAAAGCGTAACTAACGAGCCATACCTCATTGAAACCAATGACACTATGAATATTTACAAGTCTAAACTTTGCTATAAACACGCTTAGTAAACATGTCTTCGTGAACTCGTTACTAGGACTTTTAAAGTAGAACACTCTAACGCTAATAAAAAAGGGTTGTGTCAACATGTTACGTGTGTGGGGATGTAATTTCAGCAAACAGGAAGTCTAATATAGAGCTTTAAAACTGAGTCTAAATGAAACTAGAGAATGAAAATTCCTGTTTCTAAATAACCTTTCGGAATAAATGTTTCCGGGGATGATGTGGCCCCATATTTGTAAATTTCTTATATTTATTCATTTCCCTTAGTTCTTTTGTTGGACATAGCGATTATATTACGTTCCAATGAGGCCTAAAGTCTCAGAGCAAAGTCAGTACTTTCATCCTTTAGGTTCGCATTTCGCAAAACATCTAAAAGAAACCACAATGAACACATCGTTGTAACACAATTTCAATGTAAGGCATTGCTCTCGGTCCAATCGGGCAGGTATTTTTAAAAGGAACAATGATGTTTATAGTGAAAACACTGCTCTTAAAAAGGCGGAGATTTTCTCATTAATCGCACGTGCAAAATGGGAGGCAAATTTAGTCTTATCCAAAACGAGGAACCATTCGTTAATTCTTTTGGTCGGGGATAATTGGCTATGATGAGAAGGCACCTTATTACCATTAAAAAACATTAGAGACAAAAAATACGATTTTCTCCTTTGTTTCCTAGATGGGGTGGTAGCAACGTACTCAATGCTATCAGTCTTCTGTGAACTTGGAGCAGTTCATGACATGTCTTAGGGTGTATCCACAAGGGAGATTGCGAAGTTGACTGTTCGAGCGCTAAAACTCAGTGAGAAGAGGAGAACATACAAGGTTTTTATGCCATTTTATGTTCTATTCCTAAAAACAATTCCGTCTGACAAAGGGGATAGCGTGTTAGCTTCAGCTTTCCAATTTCTCTACTTTATCAAATAAACGAACTAAACCAAAGGTTTGTTTTTCACACCCCCAGCGACGATCAATGTATAAACACAGAAGTCTCTATAGAAACTAATCTTTTATGGCCACACGAATCGGTAAACACAACCGAATAAATATCGTTCTGGGCATGCATGGTTGTTCAAAAAAGCTACATAGCTCTAACCACCGGATTAATGGCTATTCACTTTAAAGGATTATGGTAACCAATTGCGTTATCCACCTGATAATGTATTTATTTAACTATCCATCTTTTAAACAGCTAGGGTCTGGAGTGGAACGTTGTAGGCACATTAGTGGTTTGAAGACATATCACTAGAAACCCGGAATAAGTCCCACATTTGCACATTTCTTGACCAATGAACGGACTTTTTCCCATAACACTTGTTTTCCTTTCGTTCTGTTTTCAACCAATCAAATTTCAAGGCATTCCGATCAATGGCAAGCGTAATCAAGTAATCTCTCCTTCCGATCACACACCTTCATACCGTACACATCTCTTGACTTGCAGTGGATATTCGTAACGTTAAAGGCAAGTACCTTTTTTATCATATGTTTCTCCGTCTTCACGTTTTGTTTAGCTCTAGCAACTGTTGGCCTACTTGTTCCCTCGTCGGAGTTGATTGTTCTTGCCTATGCCATTACCTCGCCCTGTCAAACGTTATCTTATTCGCGTTAGTGTACCTCGCCATGTCTTTGCCCAGTACTTTTGTGACTGCATCTTATTTTATTATGTTTCTGCCGTTGTCTTATAAGTTACACGCTTTGTTGATAATTCAGTTCGATAGATTTGATTTTTGTCGTTTGTTCGTGTTTTTCCTGTTGTCAACCTCAGAGGTTAGGGTGACGTATTACCTTGGTTCTTATCATCATGTCTGTGCTTCTTATTCTCATGAACCACCTTTTCGAGTTATTTTTGCATATCTAACCTCCTGCATTATTAAACTATTTCAATCATCGTAAAGGCTGGGCACTAATTTTCTCTGTTTCCTATTGCTACTACTCGACCATTCGCAGGCTCTTTTTGGTATTTTATTTTTCCTATGTCATCGCTTTAAACGAAAAAGTGGGGAAAGAAAGGGATTAATCTTTTTCACCAGAATGATAGTTAACTTTCCATGTTTCCTTTTGCTGCTATCCGACCATTAGCAGGCTATTCGTTTCGTTTGCATTGCTCATGTAATCGCTTTGAACGAAAAAAAGAAAAATAGCCAAAACGTAAGTAACCTTCTTCCACCAAAATGAATTTTCACAAGTTTACTGCTGCCGGATGACTGATATGAGAAGTGTGACTCCAGCAAACAGGAAATTTTGTCGCAGGAAAATGCATATTTTTTTACAAAAGTAGAAATTCCTGTGTCTATTAATAGCCAGACTTTTACATAGATGAGACATGGTCCGTAGCGCTTTTGTAAGAAATTTCTGAGAAACTTGTTTATTAAGTTTGCAATAAGTTTTGCTCCTCGGGAGTAATTTTGTCGGGAGAAAACTTATGGAAGTTTCTTTCTCTTTCAACCCAAGAGTTATTGCTAATAAAGTATTACTTGATAAGTCATAATACAATCTTTTTCCTGTTTGCAACGCCATCAGTGTCTGTCTCCTATAAAAGAACTTTTTTAAATTAGACGGGGACTAAATCTGTTTCATTCTTTTTTTAGCGCTTAATATCAGATGAAGTATTTATAGGGAGCTTCAGAAAACGGATGACGGAGACGGCAGCGAGAACGTCAAGAAAGCCATACAACAATTTTGCACGCTCACTGTGCGTTTTTGGTACATTTCCTTTCCCTCCCTGCACGACCTCGACGTGAAAATTCCTTTTGCAACGCTTTGTGGAGGGCTTTATTACACAAAGAAGCCTTTTTTCCCCTTTCTAAATTTGCGTTCGGTCCCCAAAAATTCAACTCCAAGAAAATTTACTTTCATTTGACATTTTAATAAAGTTAGAACGAAGGTGATTTCATTTTAATAAAGAGGTTTTTGCTGCCTTCATCGCCTTCGTTGCTAAAGCTGCCGTTTTTTATGGAATACGCAAGTCATTTTTCCTTTCAGATTGTGTTTACAACACTGACATCTTTTAGTCATGTCGGAATCAGCTGAAATCGCTGGGACAGTAGTAACGTCAGTGCTTATCATCACAAGTATCGTAGGAAACTCTCTTGTTTGTGCTGTTATTAAGAAGAATCGAGACATTGCCTGATTTCATACCGTGGGAGCCTGGCACTAGTTATCAGTTTTGCCGGACGGAAGTGAAAAAAGATGGCGGGAAATGTGAAAGAAGACTCGCCCAAAATGGCTTTTGCAGCAGTAAAAAAAGTCATAAATGATGATTGCCTTGAATCACTCAACACAAAAAACTTGGGAGAACTTTGTAATAGTCTTAAACTTAAAGCTTCCGGGACTAAAAGTGAATTGTTACAAAGATTGCTACCATTTAAAGATGACCCGGCTTTGCTCGACAACAGAGTGAAGAACATCTCTGTGAATTACAGCTTTACGACAGCCCTATCGAGACAGGAGATCCCACCACCAACAGCTGGATGGAAATGCAATACTTCTCTCTTTCCCAAGATTTCAAAAGACGTTATCAAGACATATCAGTCTAATAAACGACAGGGAATGATAGGACAATTTCGCAAAGCTCATCGAATGTTTTCTTCAAGACGAATGAAAACCATCAAGGTTTTCAAAAATGGTAGCCAGTTATTTGTCAAGTCAAGCATATTGAAAAGCTTTTCTTCTGAAGTTACACGAACTGCAACTGTCTTGTTCATTGACAATGTTCCCAAGAAAGGTTTTTGCGAATGTGCTGTCGGAAAGTGTGGTCTCTGTTGTCATGTTATCGTTATACTGCTACAGTTAGAACACTTCACAACACATAAAAAGCTGTTTTTGTCTTTGACCTGTACAGAGAAGCTTCAAAAGTGGCATCGACCAAATTTAAAGAAAGGGAAAGAGGTAAAAGCTAACTTGAAGGCTGCTGCTCATATCAGACTGAAATATTTTAGAAATGCCAAATCAGCAAGACATGTAAATCAAAGAACAAAGAAGAAAGTTGTAGCTAGAGGTGTAAGTGATGAAAACAGTGACTGGCTGAAACGAGATATTTCCTCCATGAGCTCTCAAGTAGTAGATGGCCTGTCTAAATGCAGAATCAATTTATCAAATCATTTTCTTAAAACTCTAGAGAAATTTAAAATAAGACACTCAGGATTGTATCACCATTTGTCTTACAAAAATGCTTATCTGAACAGAGTTATACAAAATGAACATGACTACACAAAACTAAATCCTCCAGCAAACCTGGAACAAAACTCCAAAACACCTTCTGAGTGTGAGGATAAATGGCACTCTTCATTGAAAGCCAACTCTAACAACTTCAATCAAGATAATTGCACAGTGGGACAGCCTACTTCAGAATGTCAAGAGCAAACATTTTGTGCAGATAAAACTCAAGAGTTGTTAGAATTGCTTACAAACTCTAAAGATGAGATTATAACTGTTAAGGTCCCTCAGCTTAAAGAAGTCAGACTAACTACAAGTGCAAGATACATTGATGTTCAACAAGGCACTTCTGATTGGCTTAACCTGAGGACGGGGGTAATAACAGCAAGTAAACTACCATCACTCCTGGGTTTTCATGGAAACAAAGAGTTTGATTCATCACGGTTTTATATTTTAAACAAGATAGATGAAAGTAAATGTAAACCAAAGCAATACAGAAACTTTCGAAGAGGAAACTACTATGAAAAAGAAGCTTTAGAGCACTTTCAGAAACTCTCTGGTAAGTCAGTTTATTCGAAAATATTAATAGTAACATAATACTCTGAAATTTAGCAAATAAGTATATTATCAGCATATCATGGAGTTAATCATGTACATAACATAATCAAATAGGAATACACTTACATGAACATAAATGTAAGCACAAAAATTAATGTAAGTTTGAGTTATCATGAATTGATTTCTATTTTTTCCTACAGGTGTCCCAGTCTCAAGTTGTGGGTTTTTCAGACATCCATCAGACACAAACTATGGAGCAAGTCCTGATGGTATTTCAGAAGCATTTCTTGTTGAGGTCAAGACAAGAGCAGAAAACTCTGAAGCCCCATTAGACAAAATCACAGGCTCACATATTATTCAAGCAAATTTTCAGATGTCTTGTGCAGGAGCAAATCTTGTATTTTTGCAATCTTACCTCCCTGAAAAGAAAAGTTCAAATATATTTTTCATACCCAGAAATGACCTGCTTATAGATGTCTTAAACGAAATAACTGATCATATTTTACATCACAAAATTGTAAGTAAGTGGGATTATGAAGAGAATAACCATCTCTCTGAACTTGGAAAGAACTTATTAAATACTGTTCCTAGCTTTGACACATTACGTCAATTCCGTAAGTGGGTAAACCAAATGACAAAGCATATAAAGAAGGTAGTCTTTGTTAAAACATAGTCATGTAATATCAACAGAGTTTTTTGGAACTAGTTGTAGTTGTTTTATTTTGGTCCAACTGGTTTTTTTAACATATTAACAATATGTGCAAATATTTGGAAACAGCAACCAAGTAAATCAATTCTTGAGCTTGGCCAAGTTTTGCTTAGAATTTGCCAATCTCTGATTCTTCCTATGTAGTTTTCAATGTAGATCCTCAATGTTGCAATGTCAAAGTTCTTTACTACCTCAGTCTCATCAAATTGATGAGAAAATTTCATTGGAGGTCTATTGTGTAACAGGCCTTTCTCATGACAAATATCAGTGATATTAAAGCCCTTATCAGTCATAACTGTCTTCACTTTTGTAACTGTATCTAGCACACATGATTGCTCTGTTATGTCAGCATCACTAATGCTGCCAGGAAATGCATCGGTACATTTGAGTAAAAAACCAGGAGGAAGGGTCCACAAACATATCTTCCCTGTAGTGTGGTTCTTGTAGTTCGAGAATGTAATGTTATTAATATCAAAGTTCTCTGATTGGGAGATCCAAATTTCAGTTGCATCCCCTATGAGAGCAGTATCACCATATCCTGACTCCATAAAACATTTTGGCATATAGTCATTCAAAAATCCAGGTAATGGGGTCAGGTCAATAGACTCAAAAATGGTGCTCAGGAATACACACCATCCTACAAAAATTCTACTCATAGTTGATATACTTGAACCAGTCATCCATGCAATAACACCAAGGTCCAATGCATGTCTACAAATTGTCAAGAAACTGATAAGTTCTGTCTTTGTGTCCAGCTTTCTAAGATGGGAGGAGTCGTCATTGTTACAATCAGGATAAACAATTGTGTGCAAGAAAGGCTCCAAACATTCATATAGACAATCTAATTCGGAAAGTGTTAATCCTGTCATATAGTAAATTCTATCTGGGTATCTCATGAGTGCTTCATAACTAAAAGTTTGGCCTTCGAGTGCTTTCTTCATTGCATTGAGTTGCTGACTGTTGTTCGCAGCATTTTTTTCAAGTTCTGTTTGAGTCTTTGACAGCTGTTGCTGTAAATCTTCAATCAAAGCCTTTTTTCCATTTAGTTCTCTCGTCAAACTTTCCACTTGACTTTTAAGCTTCTGATTTTCTTTTTCTACGTTCGCAGCTGAAACCCGTCGCTTTTTAACTCGCGGTACGGGAGTTTCACTCCTGTCTTTCGGGGGTTTCCTTGGAGTACTCCTCACGGTATTGGCATTCGACGAAGTAAGAACCGTTTTTGTACAGTCAATTTTCCTTTTCAATTCCCTAGATGGTTTTTGGGAGTACTCTTTTTCCAGATTAGCAGCATATTCTTTTGTACAAATTATGTCTGGCAATTGATTCTTGTTCTCTCGTTTCCCTGAGCTCCAGTGGGCGCTGCATATAACATGTTTTCTCCAGTTAATATTTTCGTTCATAAGAACTTTCCTATATCCTTTTTGAAGCTCAGGATCGCTGGGCAAAGTGTAATACGTTATTCCTTTAGTTCTGTAATTATTCGTACACAAAGAACTGGCACAATTCCAATGCCAAGTTTTCGTGTAAGTCGCCATCCCTACGCCATTAAACTGAAGTGAACTTCCGTCCGGCAAAACTGATAACTAGTGCCAGGCTCCCACGGTATGAAATCAGGCAATGAGGTACATAACCTGCCGGCAGTTAACTAAAAAAAATAATGACTTCGCAAAGTCGTCATTATTTTTCCTGTTTAGGGCTTTCTGCGTAGTCACCATCAACCTAGAGCCTGGTCTCTGATAGTCCATGTTCGATATACATCACTACGAGGTTTTACGGACAAAATTGCAAAAATTTCACGATTCCATTGTCTCGTAATTGCCAGAAGAGACTGACAAACAAAGAAGCCCAAATCAAATCAGGAGCAAATCCAGAAATTCAGAAAGGGCTGGCCGGGACACTTGCCAGAAATAGAGATACTTTTTATTTTACTGAGAATTCTTGTGGGGGGTGCGTGGTCCTCTTGGCCTCAACCCTAAATCCGCCAATGCAAAGAAATTTAACAAGAAAGCCTCGTAGTCATATATCGAACGCAGGTCATTTACAGCGTGGTGAGCAACGCACAACTCTTAATGCGGTAGCAACAGCTATTTAATTCTGATTTACCCGCAACTTTGACATGAAGAGGGTCATTTTTCCTGTTTGTGAATGTCTGACTTCTTGTTTGATCCTAGAAGGCGAATATATAAGGTGTGTATGTCCCTGCAACAGTTTCTTTTCCACACTATACCGCCCTTGTCATGTCATACTGTTTTTCATCATTGTCAGTGCTAGGTGGTTCTTTTTTGAAATGAGAAATTGTATAATATGTCATAACTTGTCTAATTCGCAAATAACATTGAACGCTTAATTTAACAGAAGTCCCATGAATTATCTACTCATCAACCTCGCAGTAGCGGACATAATCTTTGTAATCTTTACCATACCAAAAATGATCCTGTTACACTCATCCATTCAGCCAAATGGTGCGACTGGCAAATTGTTTTACACATTTGGCACCTTTTCATGGGTAGGGGCTGCTTCGTCGGTCTTTACACTTGTCACTGTTGCCGTGGAGCGCTACTGGAGCGTGGTGCACCCCTATGGTGGCAGCGGAAAGAGGCTTACTATTCGCAAACTGAGGGTATGTAGCAAGTCAAACACGCTAATCAATGTAAATTTGAGACAAAATAGTCGGCACCCACATCGCTATATCGTAACTTCATAGTTTACCTACAATTATGGAAAAATTGGAGAACGTTCTTCCTCTGCCGATATTGATTACCGGTAAATCAATAGTTTTTAGGCCTACAAGGTTAAGAATCCAAACTGGCCGGTGGCAAACCATTTTGCTATTTAATCTCCGAGCGGATTAGAATTCCAGCCCTCTTACCGCTCGCCCTTGCTGCATCTACAAAGTAGCTATCAGTATGTCACGATGATATTGCTGTCAGTTAAGTCAAGATCAATTCTGTGCTTTAGCCGTTACTTAATACCTTTATGCAAACTCAAAATGCTTTTGTAGAGTTATGAATATAGATATCAAACAAATTTTACCAGAGAGCACTAATCATAACATTGTTTTTTGATAATTCTTGCAGACATAGCATTGAAACTTGAAGTTTCAATCCATATCCATCCTCGCCGTCCTTTGCGACAGACGACGACAATCAGTTTTAAGACGGAATCCATTACATCTTAATTTTCAGTCAGGGACATAAACCTTCTACCAGAAAAATTTAAACAATACTGCATTCTTTTTGTTACACTTTATAAGGGATATAGATGTAATTAGTTATCTGTAATAACACCAAAGACAGTTTCTCGTGGGAGCCTGAGAAAATAGAAGTCATATTTCACAAGAAATGCGAAAGCACAGATAAAATTCTGAAAATTGCGTGCGTATGTCATTTTGTGAAATTTGACATTTTTCTCGGGCTCCCATAAGAAACTTTCTTTGGTGATATTACAGATAACTAATTATATCTATGGGCCTAGAAAAATGTGAAAAAAGAATTTTAAAAATATGCTTGAAATTATTGTGGTAGAAGGTTTATGTAGCCTTGGATAACAAAACTGGACCATTTTTACCGGAATTCAATTTGTACAAAAAAAGAGTCTTACACCGTAGCTTTAAGATATCAAATAGCTTGACATAGTTCCTTAAAATTCGTTGATTCGCTCCAACGAACGGCTGCATGTTTCTGGAGAGGTGAATTGACCTTAACGCAAACGTTGATAATTTGTTCTGTATAATTAGTCCATCTCTGAACTTCCTATTGTTTGTACATTCCGGTTTTAGGTCTTGCTTCCTGGTTTTTGGCTCTTTGCAGTGATATTTGAAATACCAATTGTTATGTTCGTGGTATGTGAAGAGAAAATCGACTCCCAATTCTGTATCAGGGTGTGGTCTCATGAGAAGGATATACGCCTGGCATTTCTCTCTACATTGCTTGCCTTAGTGGTTATTTCCACTACATTGATGTTTGCTTTATACTCCCGAGTGGTGTATATTTTGTGGTTCAGGCGAAATAACGATGCTAAACTCTCGCATCAAAAGAGGGTATGTGCTTTAGCGGAGAAATTTCAGATTTTATCTAATGTAATGTACATTGAATATTGTTATTATTTACTAACTTACTGTTTCTTGAGAAACAAGACAAATGAAAAATCACATTACTTGTGGCTCAACTAGCCTGTGTACAGAACCCCCTCCCCTCAGGAAAAGGATGAAGGATTTTTCCTGAGCGGAGGGGGGTCTGTACACAGACTACACTCAACTAATTTAACATATGTGATATATATGATTGAATGTAATTAAAAGGTGTAAAAAAACAATACATAGGTGAAACCAAACGCACGCTTCCTGGACGCTTTAAAAAGGCAACAACGATTAATCCACTCACGTCGCAAATGCCACAGCAGCAGTCTCTTCGCACTTCAATCAACCTGGCCACTCGATCACAGACATAGAACTTATTCCACTTGAACTTCAACCTAAACTTAGTATGTCACGCCGTAAAGCAAGAGAAACTTACCTCGTATAAAGTAGAGGTAAAACTCTTTCACCAGATGGTTCTACCCGCTAGGACGAACGTTGAACTGTACCTTATCAATCGCTTTACTGTATATTATTTACCTATCTATCATGCCATCTATTGTTTTCATCTTTAGTTTTATCATCAACCTCTTATGTAAATTTCAATTCCAATTTTAGGAGTCGTTATAGTATTTTCTTTCAGTGTAGCTCTGGCCCCGAGGAAGACTAATTTTAATTTGTCAGCCGAAATATTGGCCTCAAATAAATCAGCCCTAGCTTTGCCGTATTGCCAGCCTTGCATTCAGTAATGTAAATTAGTCACATCCGTAAAAACTAACTATTGAAATCACCAAAATAAACGCGCATGACGGTTTTCTGTTTTTTTCTCACAGGGTGTGTTGAGGGTACGAAAGCGAGTGACGTTAATGGTCATTAGCGTCAGTGTCATATTTGGTATCACTTGGCTCCCAGATTCAATTCTTCACATCGTCGTACAAACAACCAGCATCGAATTGAGTCCTTTCATATTTCCCATCTTACATATCATGATCATGTTTAATTCTGCTGTTAATCCATTCGTTTACGCTTTAATCAACCAACGTTTCAAAGAGAAGATCAAGAGTATGTTGTTCCCCGGTTCAACTTCATTGGTATCCAAAAATAGCTCAGATTTGGATACACAGAGCGTCGAGTTAGCCAACCGAAACATCCAGCCGACGGCTAAAGCAACGTCATGTTGAGAAAAAGCAATGAATTTTTTTTCAAAAACTCTTTTTGATGGCGTGTTCGATTGACTGTATTCCGAATAATAATTAGAAGAAATATAATAAACTCTAGAAATCTCTTGTTTTGGCATTCATTGCATTGCATTATCTAGAAATCTGCTTGAAATAAAATATTTCGATGTTGCATTTAGAAGTTCAAAAATTGCGGTACAAGAGATTTGCAATAAAACTATTGAGTATCATTGTTCCGGAATACAGTCAATCGAACGCACCGACCCTAAGCCACAGGCAGGCAAGAATGTATTGTCTGATTCATAAATAAAAGATAATGCTTAAAGGAAAGGAAAACATCGTTTCAACCATTAAACGGTTATCCTTATTTCGTTAAAGTAGAATAAGATTGTGTTCGACTAACAGTGGTCTCATAGAGGATCAATACTGAGAAAACAGATATTGAAGTACAAGAGAAAGTAAGTACGTCATGAATGACATACACTATTTTTAGGTTGAAAAACTAAAAACTAATAGAACACTAAACTTGAATAGTGTGATGTTTTTAAAAATACTTAACCTCTACAAGTTTCAGATGGCCATACCATGAGCCTATCATAATATAACCTCCACATTTGTAAGGTGGTGTGGTACGGAGTCGTATTTTTTAAGATCTGATCCTCGAGTAATGTTTGAACTTGTCACCTTTTATCTGTCTTTTAAAAGTAACCCCATTATTGATGGAAACATTTCTACCATACAATTAGTGAATTTTATCCACAAATTTCGAACCCTCGATATCTCAGAAATCCCGCGTAACGTCTCCCTTCCTGGGGCCAGTTGTTCGAAGGCGCCCATTAACGCTTAACAGGGGTTAAATTTAACCTGGGTTTCTTTTTCTTGTGTTCAAAAACATTTTCTCGGATAATTTTCTCTGTTATGTTTAGAGCTTCCAATCATCAACCTGTGGACAAAAAAAAATTAAAACTAAAATGCTTTTTAAGCTTTCAAATCTGAATTCAAATTTCGCACTAACCCATGGGTTATCTTAACCCAGCTTTAAACAACTCGGCCCAGGTCTTTTTCTTTGCAATTTTACCCTCAATAACTTTTAAACCCCTTTGACAAAGAGTAATGAGTGAAAACTTACTCCATACTTTCTTTCTTCTCAATGGACCTAAACACAGTAATTACACATGCAAACATGGATTTTTTGATATAGACACATGCGTTTTTCGTTAGGTAATACGTCAATAGACCTCTTTAACTTGTTTGTTCTGTTTTCCTAATACAGATCATGTGATAATACTCTAGAGAAGTGTTTCTTTCAAATGTCATCTTATTCACGTGCATATTTCGCATAATTTATGAAAAGACAAACGGTCAAGTTCCCCTGGGACCTATATTGGGTAAACAAAACATACAAGCTAAAGAGGTCTTTTGCACGATGACGTCATTTTACTACAACCACGAGAATCCTTCAGTTTGATGTTTCTTGTGCAAATTAAGGCTATCGTTTTAAATCTCAGCTTTTGGTCGTTGTACTCAAATGTCGTCATCGTAAAAATGGCCTATTAATGGCAATTTTCCTCTTAGTTATCTTGATACTGCTGGCTTATGACTTACTAGATCATTGAACAAATTTACATCAATTTTCCATGTTCTGTACTACTGATCTTATCGGCCATAGAATTTTTTACTTCAAATTGTTCAACACTCGAGTGGAATCACGAGCCGTAGGCGAACATTATGACGTCATTTCTATGGTCGATAAGATTACAGACCTCGGATAATTGTCGATTTGTTTTGCAATGCATATTTTGAATGATACAAATGGTTTAATTTTATATAATGAAAACATATATTAAAAAAAGCAACAAATTTCAGGCTTCTTAATGTTATCACTGTTGTCACTGTTGTCAGTGTTGTCACTGTTGTCGCTGTTGTCTGATCAACCTGAATCAAAACTAGGCAAACATGTAAGCGTACGATACAGTATTATGTTGACACCGCTGAGGTGATAATCACATGACTTGTTTTTCTCAAAAGTAAAGTTACAGCTCAATATGTGAACGGAAATTTGCTTTGGATCAGCTGACGGGTAGAATATCATTAAAAATATTTGCATGTTAAAAGTTCCTATTTAATGGGCACCAACTGCAAGCAAAATACGATCAGTTAAAGCAAAGGAGCCTGCTTCATAGTTAATACCAAGCAATACGCGGACTTATTTCATCTTCACTTCAAGGTGATTGCTATATTTTATCTTTTCTTTTCAGTGTTTAAGGAACTCCTTAGCTTGCTTTCGATAAAGCGTATTTCGGAATAAGAATGCGCAGAAATTTGTGACAAGTCTCTTCGATCACAAATGTTTGGACTTTTAGAGGGCTTCATTCATCAGAGTTTCCAACAGAGTTTTGGATTTTTCCATACAATGAAAGCGCAAAAAAGTGATTTTTTGACCTTATTTCATGTATTCGTATTCCGGAATAAGATGAAACGAACGCGCCCTTAGTATAAAGCAATATACCCTTATTTACCAGTATTCTGTCTATTTTAAACAGGAATATACATTTTATACCCTTTCTGTTTACTGTTATTTTATCAATGCTAAAGAGAAAATATTAAGTAAATGATAGCTCCTCTTACGATAGAGTTACTTACGTTGATGGCAACTTTGCTAAAGTATTACTATTGTTTATTTATTATTATCAAAAGGTTCCTTGTATAAATACACCTTATTACAAGTAGCTCCATGACTGTTGATAAGATAGGTGATTCTCAGTGATTCTCGTCGAGTTAAGTCAATGACTGAAAGACCTCGATCTCTATTTTTTCAAGCTTGAAGTTTCTCTCCAATTCGTCAGTCGTGCGCGATGAATTAGAAAAGATTACGGAATCATACGTTCCACATTGGTTCCACATAGGTGAACAAGACAGACCTTTTTACATTTCGGTATATTTCTTGGCTGGTCTATATTACGTTTATTTAACATAAAAGACTCAAAAAATCCCCAAAATTGAAACATCTTAAGCATGAGAAAACGTGATTGAAAAGGACAGGAAATATATTAACTTTTTTGTTTCCGAAATATTGTCCTCTCATTTGCTCAAATACAGCTGTAAATTGTTTAAAAAAACTCAACTCAACTGCATGCACCAAATGTTCAGTTAATGCATGACATGCATGACATCATTGGAAACCAAAAGGCATCCACAGTTTTCAGTTATTTTACAAGTGTCTCCTTCTTTTTTTTAACAAAAAGGATTAAAAAAAGAATATCACAATCTTAGAAAAACGCATACTAATCGTGTTGTTTTTTTGTCCCGAAATCAGTCCCGGAGTATTAATGACGCGCCGCCGGTATTAATCGCCGGATATACCACACAATTTCAGGGTTTGGTTGCCAGCTGGCTGGGTGGCTAAAATTGCCTCGATCTCATATCATAATTTTCTCGGCGTGGAGCTGGTACCTGCCTTGAAGCTGTCGCCTTCTTCACAACGTCACTCCGTTTCCTTGGAGTGAAATTAATGGCGGAGCTGTCGCGCGCAGCGGACCACCATGAGTAAAAAAATTGGTAATCTATGCATCCAAGAAATTTTGGTTCTGAAAAAATCGTCCGTACGTACGTCCACCCCTTCATGTAAGCCAGGATGAAATTTTGCATTTCAAGCACCCGCGCGTTTCGTCAGTAAGTCGCATAGCTTCCCGGCCTTTTAGAGATAAAACCAACAGCAACAAAAGCCGATTCTTTCTTTCGACTTAATTTCAATGTGTACATTAACGTGGATAACAGAGAAAGAGCTAGAGCGAGAGATAAAAACCAAAGGAGACCAATTTTATTGGAAGAAAAACGTAACAATTTTGTAACCGCGGTGAGAAAAAGGGGAAATGCTAGCTGCCGCCAAGTGGAAAATGAGCGGCAGCGAAAAAAAAAAGTGAACAGGAACACATACAATATTTCCTCCATAAAACGTGTAACTAGGAAGTTTCTTGAAGTTTAACGTTGTAGTCGTGGAAAACAAAGGCAAAGAGATGTACAAAAAAATGCGTGCAAAGTTGTTTTTTTGCTAATTAGGAAAAAACTGTGCTACACGTCAAAGTTTCTTTTTTTGCTAATTAGACCTACTGATATTTTTTACTGTTTTCGTTGCCTTCGCCTCTTGGCGTTACATGATTTTATATTTTGACAGCTTTATCCTCTCTTGATTTTGTTTAGTAAACTATAGATTTTAACGAGAGCTTCGCTTTTAGCCCTGGCTGACTCTATTTAGTATATACTAAAACAGTGGATAGTGTTTTTCGGGCGCTCTGATTGGCTACTCAATCAGTGAATATTCTGCACTATTCACTGATTCACCTCCAGTTCCTCCGAGCGAGCGACGCCAAACTCGCGTAGGTTGCGAGCAAAATGCTTTCCCGGTTTGCTGCCGTAACAAACTGAGAAATTTCACAACCAATCAAGCAAGCTATTTCCGAAATACATGAAGAAGGTGACGAAGTTCGGTTTGGAAGTTCGGTGAAAAAGTTTTTTGTTTATAAATGCAAATTAAGCTTAAGTCTTGCGTTACTTTATTTAGTTGACTTGTTCATAAATAAGCTTAAAACTAAATTTAATATTCTTTTTACAGAATTATTTTAAATACAAACAGAATTCACAACTCCTTTTGAAGAAACTTCCCCGCCAGAGCTAAACAAACAGGGGCACCCAACGTCAATTTTCGGAAAATATCTGTTCGGAAGACGATTTGAGATCTGAGAACATTTGTCGTAAAATTTCTTGCTTGCCTGCCTCTCCTAGGATTTTCGAACATCTAAAAAGGGGTAGAATTGCCCATTTTTAACGGATTTTTACCCTAAAAAGATCACCTAGAATTTTCGGGAGCCTTTTTACTGGCTGAAATTTTCGAAAAGGTAAGTTTCGACCCCTATAATTTTCGGATCACTAGACTTTCAGCTAGGAAATCCGAACAGATGAAAAATTTTTAGGGGATAAAAACATGCCTATATCTACCGTTTAGA